GCATCTCAAAAACAATAAAAATATCAGAGAAGATATAACATGTTTGCTGCCCAGCTGGCACAGTCCAACACAGAATAGGCATATGCAAAATATGGTTCCTCAACTAGCCACACTGACCTAAGCACTCCACTTGCATCACATGTCAAAGACCACAACTCCTACAACAGACTCATCATTATCACAAAAGGAACCCTACAGTTCTATATTGTATTAACATTTTACAATCCTGCCCCTCAGGGCACAACTGTTCCCTAAACCTAATGAATCTTCACACACAACTGACACAGAAGAAAGCTGGTTTCTCTCACCAGCAGCAGTTAGTCCAATAAAAGATATCACCTCACCCACCTTGTCTCTCCAATATCCTGGGATAGACGTGCTACTACAAAACTGCATACAGAAGATACATGCCCACTCCTCCTCATTAGGCTGTGGCCATGCAATGAAGGGATCAGACATCTTCATCAAGAAGCGATCACACTTCATCAAAAGGCTATTTCACCCCTGAATGCCAGCATGCTCACAGGACTCCCCACGCCAGGCAATAAATCCATCCTCCTCAAGACTTCTATGTCCCTCTGGTACATTCCAATGATAGCAGATTTCATTTTAACAGCAAGTCAAAAGAAAAAAGGCAAGCATGACGCATAGAAAGTATTGCTAATATCTGCAGACATGGCACAGTCCAACTAGGAAGATCCTCACAGGACATTATCTGTGTGTTCAGCTGCCTACTAAAATCAAAAGAGGGACAAGTATATATTGACATGGGCTGAACTAACACACCCAATAGATCTGTTGCAAGAACAGTGTCAGTAATGGGACATGTGCTTTCATGAAAACTGTGTATGACATAAGATGATGGGTGGTTTTCAACTGTTTGCTAAATCTACCAGAAATACATCAGACATATACTGCCAGTGAATACATGTTCTCTATCATTCCATAGAGCATAAACACCAAATGGTATCTTGGGGAAAATCTAACAAGCAGGTCAATAAGCAGCCAAACAAATGTATGTGTGCATTGGTGCAAAACCAGATAAGAATAGTGGGTTGGGGATATTCTCCCAGAAAAAATTTGCAATAACCAGAGCAATTCCTGCATCTTAGAAGATTAAAATGTTTCAAAAGACAGATTTTGCATAGAATATCCGATACATTATTGGTCTGTCTTTCCTCCAGAGGGGAGAGGAGGTGGTGGCTAGCTTGTGGTGCCAAATCTCTTTCCTTTCTCTTCCCCCTTGCAGTGGAAGGGAAGCAGGTGGTGGGATAGATTTTTCTGTAGAGATTGTAGATAGAGGAGAAAGGCTATTTCTGTCTGGACACCTGTCAGGTGCTGCTGCTGCTCCACCCACTAATACCCAGAAACACCTCAGCTAGACATCAGGTTCTCATGGTTCTCCCACTTCAGATTTCCCAGCCTGCTGAGTCTTCACCTTTCTTGCCAAAGAGGAAGGGGAACAGTGTTCCCTCAAGCAAAAGGAACGCGAACTAAGATCCTCCACACTTGCTCTACAACATAGCATCCTTCACACAGTGTGACCTTGCACATGCTATAAATATGAGGTCATGCCCGAGGGAGGATGGCATGCCCTATGGAGCAAAATGACATTCTCCATACAGTGTGAGCTCACATGTACAGTGCATGTGAAGTCATGCTGTCTGGGGTCCCAGGAGGAAATATTTTATTAAAATGGGATTGTGACAGCAAAAAGTTTGGAAACTCCCGGTCTAATGGTTGCAGGGACATGCGATTTGGGGTGATCAAGAGGTATTTTGTCATTTACACATCCTCAATTTGAATAAATAACTCAGATTTAATAGGAAATGACATAATGGGCGCCTGAGGTCTTGCTTGTGCCTCTGTAAAACATGTTCTCAAAAACACATTTCTATAGTGTTATAAAGTTCAGTCTCATTGGAGATGGAATTTCTAAAAATATAAATTTACACAGATGCTTTTTAAAAAAAAACTTCAGCTTGGAATAAGGAACTGGGAGCAACTTCAGCCTTGTCCCTTACATGAACCTCTCACCAGTCGGGCTCCTGCATCTGGATTATTAGTTCTACAGGAACAATCAATCATAGGTGGAAGCTACTCTAAACCCTCAGCGAGTCTGATTTGTCTGGATACCATCATATGGGGGAAATGAGAAACAATCTTCACATGATTGCTCAAGCTGAAGGAAGCTACTACCATGGGGTAGGGAATGAAACTGCATTTTAGAATTCCACAAGTTCTTTCTGTTACAGAGTATAGGCAAGAAGGCCTGCTTGCTAGGTGTCATGATTACTGATTGCAGACATGCTACAGAGATCAGCAGTATTGGAAGCAGTAGGTACCTATTATGTCCCGCAAGGGAGGCAGCACAGCATTACACCCTGTTCAACAGCATTTATTGCTGTTCACTCACCTGTTCAGGTTACCTATTGCCCTTGCCCTTCTCTTGCAGTTTTTAGTAACTGCACAGCACATTGGGCTATGGAGCCAGTGACCATGAAAACACTCCAGTTGGTTCAGAATGCAACAATTTTCCTACTCAGCACATGACCCCCCCATCCTCTCTTCTCCTCGTTGGCTCTGAGTGGAATGCAGAGCTTCGTAGTTCTAAGCAGCGTTCTGTTTCACTGCCACTATGATCTACGCAGTCACACCCAGATGCATTAACTGTTTGTTTTCCCCCATGTAAGCGTTATCCTTGTAACTGTTTAAATAGTAAAACTTGCTGTCTGGGGCCATTGAGAATAAAGATTTTCAGCCTTTTTAAAAAAAAAACAGTGATAGTGATGCTATTGTGAAAATATTTATTACACCTGGATCCCTACAATTCTTGCTGGTTGAAACACTGTTTATTTAAACTGTTTAGTACCTCTTTCCTTACATGAAGCTTATGCAAAAAATTAATGTAACCTTGTTTGAAATTATACTTAAAAACCCAGCAATTTAAAGAATCAAGATTCCCACAGCACCACAAATTCTGCCTTTTTATGCTAATACAAAATCACTAGGCTGTGTCATCAGCATACACAGGGGATCTACACTCTACACCAAGGATTGGCAATGTTTGGCACGTGGCTCGCCAGGGTAAGCAGCCTGACGGGACGGGCCAGTTTATTTACCTGCTGACGCGGCAGGTTCAGCTGATCGCGGCCCCCATGGCCGTGGTTTGCCAGTGGGGGCCGCGATCGGCCGAACCTGCCGGGTCAGCAGGTAAATAAACTGGCCCGGCCCGTCAGGCTGCTTACCCTGGCGAGCCATGTGCCAAACGTTGCCGACCCCTGCTCTACACCCTGGATCAATGTTTCCCAAACTTCTGAAAGTTAAGTTCCCCCTTCAGGAAATGAAACCAATTATGCCCTCCACAGCTACGCCATGTGTTATTAAAGGCCTATCAATTTTAATTGATGTCTTCTGCATGTCCCTCATGAGTTAGCCCTTCATGCTCATTCCCCTACTTGGGGAAACACTGGGGTAGATATTCACCCAGTGGTTCTCTACCAGGGGTATCTGTACCTCAAGGGGTTCGCAGAGGTCTTTCAGAGGGTACATCAACACATCTAGATATTGGCCTAGTTTTACAAGAGGGTACATAAAAAGCACTAGCAAAGTCAATTACAAACTAAAATTTCATACAGACTTGTTTATACTGCTCTATATACTATAAACTGTACTATAAGTACAATATTTATATTCAAATTGATTTATTTTATAATTATACAGTAAAAAGCAATTTTTCAGTAACAGTGTGATGTGACACTTTTGTATTTTTATGTCTGATTTCGTAACTAAGTAGTTCTTAAATGAGGTGAAACTTGGGGGTATGCAAGACAAATCAGATTCCTGAAAGAGGTTCAGTTGTCTGGAAAGGTTGAGAGCCACTGCCCTATGATACTTCCTCTCTTTTCATACATATTTTGATAAGCAGTGAGATCAGCGACATTTGAGTTAGCACCCACCGAAATGCATGGAACAGTTCACACTTCAGTGCTCTGAAAGATGTCTGTCCAAGCTTGCCTTTGGTTGCACTCCAGATTTAAACTTTTTTCTTTGCAGTATAATAGCTAGAGACTTCATTTTGTTTTAAATGAAAGCACAGACTCTGAAGAACATTTGAAAGGTCTGTATGAACCCCTCAAAACTAGTGCTTTATTGTCCTTCTTGGACATGTCCCTCACTTCGGGGAAACACTGCCTTAGATACACAGATATAACGTTTAAAATTTCTGCCTATGCATGGTGTCAGAATGGAAGTGAAATATTCTGCAGAACTAATAAGTAAAGACAGTGGCAATGTAACTTTTTCTATTGAGCCCCGATTATAATATACAATATTGTCCTGGAGGGACTACCTTTAACAATATGAGATTAGGTCAATCTCTCCAGGCCCATTAAATCCCACGATCTCTTAGCTGTGAGTGCCCATAAAGGTATCATAGATTCAAGGACTGGAAGGGCCCTCGAGAGGTCATCGAGTCCAGTCCCCTGCCCGCATGGCAGGACCAAATACTGTCTAGACCTTCCCTGATAGACATTTATCTAACCTACTCTTAAATATTTCCAGAGATGAAGATTCCACAACCTCCCTAGGCAATTTATTCCAGTGTTTAACAACCATGACAGTCAGGAACTTTTTCCTAATGTCCAACCTAAACGTCCCTTGCTGCAGTTTAAGTCCATTGCTTCTTGTTCTATCCTTAGAGGCTAAGATGAACAAGTTTTCTCCCTTCTCCTTAGGACGCCCTTTTAGATATCTGAAAACTGCTATCATGTCCCCTCTCAGTCTTCTCTTTTCCAAACTAAACAAACCCAATTCTTTCAGCCTTCCTTCATAGGTCATGTTCTCTAGATCTTTAATCATTCTTGTTGCTCTTCTCTGGACCCTCTCCAATTTCTCCACCTTTCTTGAAATGCAGTGCCCAGAACTGGACACAATACTCCAGTTGAGGCCTAACCAGCGCAGAGTAGAGCGGAAGAATGACTTCTCATGTCTTGCTCACAACACACCTGTTAATGCATCCCAGAATCATGTTTGCTTTTTTTGCAACAGCATCACACTGTTGACTCATATTTAGCTTGTGGTCACACTGTTGACTCATATTAGCTATGTTAATTTGTGACCTGATACCCATTACCTATGGAACTGAGAGAGATCATTAAATTAACTTGTATTTGCTTTAATGAGTTACGTACATATGTTGAGTGGAGAATATGCCTGTATTGATGGAAACGAGAGAGAACAGTTGAGGATGAAAAATACTGATTAACAGACAGCTATCAGAACAACTATGACATCTTTAAACACCTAAAGTATCATATAGAAGAGAATTGATCTAAGGAAGAAATAAACCTGAAGAAATAACCCATTATGTCCATTAAATGTTACACATGAATTTGGATTAGCTGGTATCGGACATCTTCGGAGCAGTGTGGTTTTGGTCCCTTCTCTTCTGGTCTCGGACACCATCCAGATTGTTGAAAATACCAGCATACTCTACAGCAAGGAATAGCACTTTCTTAGGTACAAAGCTGAGGAGACAAACAGCATTTCTAGTGAGTCTTGATAGTTAAAAAAAATACCATCCACCCACTAATTCTAACTAACAAGGACATAATAAATTAATACTACATATAAATATAAAATCAAATATGTAAGGGATGATCTAGGTATACTTGGTCCTGCCTCAGCATGGGTGGATGATATAGATGACCTCTTGAGGTCCCTTCCAACACTACATTTCCACGACATAATACTTTACATCTCCAACATTAGTCTTCACAGCACGTTTAACATTCCAAGTTTACAGATGAGGAAACAGAAGCAGAGATATTAAGCCATTTGACCAAGAGCACAGAGCTAGTCAGTGTCAGAGGCAGTTTTAGAACTTGGGACTTCCTGACTTCTGGCCCCGAGTGCCTTCCTGCAAATCACACTGTTTTATAACTTGTGGAAATCCTTGAAATAAATGTATACACACGTAAAAGTTATCTGAGAAGTGTGTTGGAGGCCGCAGTTGAGACCACCCTTTCTTCATAGTTTTGTAGGTAACTAGTCTGAAAATTGATAGCCTAGCATCATATCTTATTGTACATTTTTACTAGCTTTGCATTCTGTTTAGCTACCAGGTATTTGGCAGTGGGGGGAGAGGAAAGAAATGCTGGAAGAGAAGTCCCGTTCTTACTTTTTCAAAGCAGAAATGCAATTGGTCAGAGGCATGAACACATAAAACTTCTCCTCTCGAATTGCATCCACAATCTTCCTGCCTGCATACTCTACATCCAAAATAGGAAGTAAAAGTGGCCTCCTGGTAAAAGAGGACATGTAGCTGTTACAAAACTGTAAAACTTTACTCTTGGAATCACTTATTTCAAAACTGATAATTTCCCTCCTTCCTCCCACTTCAAATGGAAAGTTTTGCTTCTTGCAATAAGTAAAGATTCTCCATTCTTAAGCCAGGTTTACACAACATTTAGGCTGACCTAGTTACATCACTCAGGAGTGCGAAAGATTCACACCCCTGAGCAGTATAGGTAAGCTGACCTAACCCCCAGCGTAAATGATGCTATATTGACCTTCCATAGGTCTTGCAGCGATCTAGTTACCGCTTCCCAGAGAGGTGGATTAACTAGTGATGGAAATCTCCTTTCCATTGCTGTGGGAAGCATCTATTCTAAGGATCTAAAGCGGCACAGCTGCAGCACCATAACTGTGCTGCTGTAGCACCTGTAGTGTAGATGTAGCTTTAGAGTCCCCCTGTAAGTAAAGCAATTAGTAAAATCGGTTGATAACTGTGAAATTTTAACTAATAAATAGCACTCATACAGGGCCTGTTCTGGAGCCCACTGAAATCAACGGGAGTCTTACACATAGAAGTTTATATGATAAATGTTTACCAAATAATGCTCTTCTGTGGCTAAGTTGTCAGATCTCTGTATGTGCAAATGCACCCATCAACTCTGGGCAATTTACTGCAGTTACATATACAACTGTGTGAGCAATTTATGCACTCGCACACAAAGAGGTCACAAAATTTGGCCCCTACATCAGACTGGTTGCCTTTTATGGTCTGATTTTCATTTGCTCTTATCACTGACCATTTGAGTTGTGCGCTCTTCCCAGCTGTGTGCCACAAAGTGCTGGGGTCTGCATAAACTCGTTATTTTATAGAGAGAGCTAAAGTTTAGTGCTGGTGAGCTGTGCAGATGGCAGAGCTCTAAAGACTAAGTTCTATCTGTAGAATAACTTCCTCAGCACCACATCTGCCAACAAGGCTTCTTGCCTGCCTGAGTGAGGGCAGTTTGTAATGCCAGAAGGTGTCCACTACAGGCTGATTCAAGAGCAAAATTTTATTTCAAGTAGGCCACTGAATTGATGTGGGTCTCTATACAGCTTGAGATGGAATTTGAAATAGTGACCTATAAGATAAGGCTCCCTATCTTGCTACCAAATCCAAGCTAGTCATCCATGTTGGAGTGCACACAGTGCATGGTATCCACACACAGGGTCTGTGAACTGTACCTATCCCACAGTGTCTGGTATTATTAGACTTTGTCTACATTATGGATCATATGCCAGCATAGCTGTGTCGGCATAGCCCCCTAGCACTGACACAGCCAACACCGACAGAAGGAGTTTTTCTGTCAGTGTAGGAACACCACTTCCATGAATGACAGTAGCTACATTGACAGAAGTGCTCTGGTGTTGACATAGCTGCATCTACTCTCGTGGTTTTGTTGGCATAGCTATGTCAGTCAGGGGTGTATTTTTCCCCCCACAGCTGTGACTGATGTAGCTACGCTGGTATAATTTAAGCGTAGACCAAGCCTTAGGCACATACATAATGATATATATCTATTGTATATACCATACATTTGGACATGTCACATTTCTCATTTGTTCCAGTGGATGATTTCAAGTTATCAGGACTAAACCCTGCTGAGCCCTCACTCTTGCAAATACTATGCGGAAGCTCCCCACCTAAGCTCCTGCTGGAATGTTTGTGTGTCTGACATTGCAGGGCTTTCCCCTAGTTTCCAAGCATATACTGCCATGCCCAGTCTCCTTTGAGTAGGTATATTATCCTAACGTAAGCAAGTAAAAACAAAACAAAAACAAAACAGTCCATCAGCTCACCTTATGCCCTACGGTTTCATGGAATCCCCTCCCAGGGGTCTCTGGTAATCCTCCTTCTTGCAGCTTCCCAGGCCCAGACAGCTCCCTTTTCAGCCACTCCTTGTTCGCTAGCTTTGCTCTCAGTCAGCTCTTCTACTCTTCTGGAACAGCAGCTCCAGGACACCCTTTCTGAGCACCTGGCCCCTACCACAGGAGTTCACTTCACTCCACTGTGGTTCCTCTCTCCTAGTCACTCCTCCTCCTCCTCCTGTCCTCTGACAGGTCTTTAGAGGCCCAGGTGTAGCCGCACCCCTTTTGATTGACTTCACTGGCCACAGCTGCTCTGACACAGGGAAGCTGGACCAACTCGGCCTGCAAGCGTCAGTTATCCTGTGACAGCATCTCTCTTTACTACTCTGGGGGTTGGGGAGAGAGCTCTGGAGGGGACACTGGGCAGAGCCCCAGACTGGCCAAGTACTACTTCAGCTGCTTAGGCCTGCATGCAGACAGCACTCTGAACTGTCAGAATCATTACTGACTGACGAGCAGAGCCATTGTGGTAGTGCACAGAAAAACCGAGAACAACAATTGCATTGCTTGAAGCTGCTAGACCAGTGCTTTTTGTCTACATTGGCACTGCAATGGTGCAGTGCCATTAGGATGGATGACATAGTTGTCAGTCTTGCTCAGAGGAAGAGCAATCACAATGAGAGTGTGAACACCTGTGCACCATTGGTAGTGACTGTATGTGGCCATGTGTTACAGGTGGCTAGGGGGGCTGGGAAAGTGATTGCAAGGACAATATTCTCTAGTGTAGGTAACATCATACACCAGTACATGTTTAGACTTCTGTGACAATTACAGATGTTTTAAGGCGTGACTTAAACACATTTGACTAAGTTCTGTGCTTCACCTTCCAGAAAAAGCAGCACTGAGGCGTAGCTAAATAAATAAATTAAATTTAAATTAATGGAGATAGCCCATCTCCTAGAACTGAAAGGGACCTTGAAAGGTCATCGAGTCCAGCTCCCTGCCTTCGCTAGCAGGACCAAGTACTGATTTTGCCCCAGATCCCTAAGTGGCCCCCTCAAGGATTGAGCTCACAACCCTGGGTTTAGCAGGCCAATACGCAAACCACTGAGCTATCCCTCCCCCCTGCTCAGGAGGACGGGAGGCAACACCTGTGTATTTCTCACATTTTGGGCTGCTCTGGGGGCTGGAATGGCCTCCGATGTAAATCGGAACAGCTCCAGGGCTGCTCTGACTTATGGCAGTCTTCCCAGAGCCATCTATGGGTCACTCCACATCCTAAAACAGACTCAGCTTCCCCTCCTATATGCAACATTCCCCCTTCGTCTTCCTGCATATTCCTATATAGGTTTGGACATGAGTTCAGGCACTAAAGCTTTGTCTATGCTAAAGAGCCTATGCCTGCATAACCCCCTAGTGTAGACACAGTGTACACTGACAGGAATTTTTCTGTCAGCATAGGAACACTACCTCCCTGAACGTCATTCGCTATGTCAACAGAAGAACTCTTCTGTTGGCATAGCTGTGTTTACACTGCGGGTTTTTATCGGCAGAGCTAGGTTGCCAGAGGTGTCTTTTTCACACCTCTCACCAACATGGCTAGGCCAGTACAAGTTTTAAGTGTAGACCGAGGGTTAGCGTTCTGCATTTCTCAGGCAGATGCAAAAAGCGAAATAAGCTGAAATGAACTAAGGCTACTTTACTTCTTAATTAGAGCATCCACATCGGGGTATCATGCACTTTAACTAATGCACTTTGAATTCACACTTTTAGTTAGTTCAGCTTAACTTCTTGTGTAGACAAGCCTTTGGTCATCAACACACTACCATGCCTAATTTTCACCTGCCTGAAAGAAGTGTCCAGTTGAGGCATTATCCAAAGCCAATTTAAGTCAGCGGGCTTTGGTTCAGGCACTTAGTCCTCCACCTCAGCAGTGTCCCTCTTCTTTACAGGTAAGTCAGCTGGACCACATACATGCTGTAGAAATGCATTTCTGAGTAAGAGTCCACAGCCAGTAAGACTTTTGTGCCGTCTGTGCTCATGTCAGTTACTGGTCATGTGTGCTTAAGTGGATTCATTATTCATGGCTTTGTGCACTTATAAGCCATACAAATTGTATTAAAAAGCAAAGCCAACCTTAAAATGGCTGGAGACTCAAAAAATGATTTCTACTGTATACTAATTATATTTTCATACACACTGTGACAGGCTGACAATTTCCTGCAATGTTCTGAATGAATTTCATTGAATTAAGTTAAACCATATTGAATTAGGTTAATTCCTTTGGGGTCCATTATATTAAAAATGCAATTGTGTATGTGTTATTGTAGCATTGCATGTATTTCCATAGGAAGAGTAAATAGGAGAACAGCATGGGCTGATAAGGCAAATGCACTCAGGTTATAACATTTTCAGAGAAACCACTCCCCTGGAGAGGCTCATATATACTAGTTCAAAATGGATTATCCAGGGACCAACAGACAAAGAAAAGGTTTTTGGATAAATAACTTGGTTTTCAACTGGCTCCAGGCCTTCTTCCTGATCCAACAAATTGACAGAACCTCTGGTCCACGAAGGTCCCCCATCTTTAGGGTGGGGTTGGAAGGACTGAGCAAACTGAGGCCCCATAAAACTGTGCTTGTTCTGAACTCAAGCAGTGATGAACTTGTGTCCACAAAGGAAACCCCTGGATGTGGTGTTGAAGGACTGCTGCTGCCAGAGCCCATGTTAAGATTGCGGGGATGGAGATCTTTGGTAAGCTTATTAGCACGCGTGTAGGTTCTTTATTGATTTTAACGTGTTTTCTCTGTAGTGTTTTTACCTTAAGAATAAAGTAGGCATGCACAGGAAGTGTTGTGTGTTACCTTATTACTATAGCAATTATACCTGTTAGCTGTCTCTGAGGAGAAAGCAAGCAGGTGTCCTCGGGCAACTTGCTATGCTGGGAATAACAGAGTGAAGGCAGGGAACTGTGCTGCCTGGAAATACCTTGGTCAGAAGGGAGAGAGATGTGGGTTTCCACCCAAGAAATACAACAGCTGGGGAGCTGGAAGCATGAGAGTGGGTGCCCTTGGCTGGACCACTGAGGGAGAATTAGACCACTGAGAGGGCAGTTGCCCTGAATAGTGACAAATGCTAGATCTAAAGTCAACCATTTTTAGTATTCCAGATGCAATTGCTTAATATGCAAAATATAAGAAGTTTTACTTACGAGACACGAATACCCGTAGATAATTCTGTATTTACGAAAGAAGGACAAACGATGGTGGTTTTAATGCCTTTCTTTCCTGCAGCCTGCAACTCAAAAGCTAATGACTCCAGAAAGCCAATTATTGCAAATTTACTTGCACTATAATCTGTAAAGAGAAGAAAAAAGGAATATTCAAAACACATCATTAGCATCATGGCAAGTGTTACTGCCTGAATTTAAATTTTTAGAATAAAATACTTAAACTTTGGTAACAATGAGTTATGCTATGCTACTTTCTGTTTTATCTTAGGGCCCAATTGTGCAACCCTTACTCATGTTGGTGAGCATTTATTGATGTGAGTTCAACAGACCTATTCATGCAAGAGCTCACTAGCGTGAGCAAGGTTTTCACAACTGGACCATTAGTTTGCATAGCATAAGACCTATAACACTGCTCTACAGCCAAAATGCTTCTGAAATAAATGTAGTCAAACTTTACTAATTCTGGGTCACTGAGAACAAAAATGATGCTTAAAATTGTTGATTGGCTCTAGTTTTCAAGATATGCTATTGGGTCAGTATATACGACCCTTGACTTGGGAATGGCAGAGGATAAGTGAGTTATAAAGGGAAGGGATCTCAATTTAAACCAGAAATGACTAAAATACATCTTTGACTGGATCTATGACTAAATCTATGACTGGGTTTGGACAGTACTTGCTTTTTAGGCAAAACAATGAATGATGCAATCTGAAGCTGGTATTGCGTCATGCATGATACGAGTTGCATCATGTTATTCCTAGAAGTCATGGATGATGCAATCATAACGAAGCTTACATCACATCGCTGAACAAATTGCCCTATATCAGCTCTAGAAATCATACAGTGTCGTGCTCTCTTATTTGTCAGTGTTTGATTTTGCAAAGGGACAAATTTCTGTTTAGCTAAAGTGAGCAGAGATGCCTCGTACTTGTGTGAAGAGTGCAGATAACTTCTGCTATGTTTCTGGTGAAGTGACTTTTGCATCACAAAAGCGCAGTATAACCACTATGGTTAAGAAAGCCTATCACCTTTATTTTGGCTGCAAAATTGGAGATCAGGACAAGAGGTGGGCCCCACACATATGCTGCAACACTTGTGCAACAAATCTTCGCCAGTGGTTGAACAGGAAAAGGAAATTTTTGCCTTTTGCAGTGCCAATGATTTGGAGAGAGCCAACAGATCATACCAGCAATTGTTACTTCTGCATGGTGCCTCCAGTTGGGAAAGGTGTGTCAAAGAAGAAAAAGTGGACAGTGCATTATCCAAACATTCCATCAGCTATACGCACAGTACCCCACGGAGAAGGACTGCTGGTTCCTGATGCACCAAAATCATTCTCACTTGAGTCAGACGAGGGAGAGGAAGAGGATGAAACTTCTGGTCCTGAACCATCAATGTCACAGGACCCACATTTTCTCCCATCCTCCTCCTCTGAACCACACCTCATAACACCAGGTGAACTGAATGACCTTGTCAGGGATTTGGAACTACCCAAGAGTAAGGCAGAGCTGTTGGGCTCCAGACTACAGCAGTAGAATCTCCTGGCAGGTGATGTTAGGGTTTCCATGTTCCGTGACCATCAAAAGGATCTTGTCTTCTTCATGGAAGGTGATCTTGTAGCCTGCAACAACAACGATGATGTGAGGGCAGCCCTCAACATCGTTCACG